GGCCAAAAGGACAGCTCCTTCTACTGCTCCCAGGGTTCCAGTGTTAGCAAATCACTGCTAAAATTTGACCAGGCGTTAAGTAGACTATGTTTGGGAACCAAGAAGACAGTGGAGGCAGATTTGAAAAACAGAGTTCTGCTATGTCCACTATGTCATTTCCTGCAGAAAAAAAAATAAATCCAGTCTCAGATTCTTATTTTCTAATATCTATATCTATATCTATATCTATATCTATATCTATATCTATATCTATATCTATATCTATATCTATATCTATATCTAGAGAGACTTATCATTCAAGTAGTCACGACCTTGCATTGCTTTGCTGCTGCCTGAGAAAGCAGCCTCCATGTTCACGGTTGGTTGGCATGCTTCACTAGAATTATCTCATTCCTCTCTGGCGATAGTCATACTTTTCAATGACCAATTTTCAGTTATTTCATTTTTGACTGTCAAGATTCCTCCGACTTAAATACTTCCAAGAGTATTAGGTTTAACTTTGTTTATTTCCCAACTTCAGTCTTCTTTTTTCATACTGCCTGAACTTAATGTAGATATATGTGTCTTTGTGTTAGGATTACAAACTTTACCTAGAAGGGACAGAATTGGATGTGGATGGGATCATGGTAACTAATATTTATTGAGCTGTGACTGTGTCAGGCATTCATTTACTCTCTTAATCATCAACACAACAGCATGAGGTGGATACTACCATGCTATTATCTCCATCCTCAAACTAACGATTAGCCTCTGTTTGTATTTCCATGCCCATGTTGACAAGACTGGTACAGTGTCAGGTAATTATTTCCTTAGAGTGCATCTTCTGACTAATGCACTATCTCCTTGATTATAGGGCTCCTGCTTGTCCTCTCATCGTCGTGTGTATTTTCTACATTAGTGTGGTGGATGTGGAATATATTTTGAATGTTTGAATAATGCAGTTAATATGACCCGAAGTTTTGCATGTGGTTTAAAAGTGTAATTGAGAGTAGCATTGTGGAGTAACAAGTGAATCTCCCACTTGTTACATCGTGTCCTTTTTGGTTGCTCTCTCAAGTCCTAGATGCTCTGCTTCTGATTCAGCTCACTGCTCATACTCCTGGAAAAGCAGAGGAGATGGGCCAAGTCCTTCAATGGCCAAAGCTACAGCTTTGCCATGGGGCGCTGAGAAGAAGCTCCTAGCTCTTGCACTGGGTCACTTTGGGTCCTTTGGCCATTTAAGTAGTGAAACAGTGAATGAAAGTTCTTACGCCCAATTCCTTTTTACTCTCTTTCTATAATACTGCCTTTTGAATAAATGAAAATGCATCTCAACAATAAAAGTGTAATGGTTATGGCAAGATTTCTGAATCATAAAAACAAAGAAATCACTTGCCATGAGAGAAAGGTTGCTACTGATTTGCGGACGCTCTCCACACCTTTCAATCCCACGCAATGGTAAGTGAATATGTAATTTTAATTAATCAGTGGAGGGCCTCGTATTGTGGTTAGCAGTGAGTGTGCCCACATGTGACCCCAGACATCTGTTATGGGTGCTAATTTCCTTCCAGGCTGTTCCATTCTCAAACTAGGTCCTTGCTAATGGGCTGGGGAAGGTTGCATACTGTAGTCCAAGTGCTTGAGTCTCTGCCATTTATGTGGGGAAGCTGCAGGAAACTCCTGTCTCCTGGCCTGGAGATTTGGCCAGGTTAGTGCTGGATAAACCACTATAAAGAGAGCAACATACAAAACAAAACAAAACAAAAATGCTGTTGAAATGCTGTTATATAAAAACAGTGCTTCACTAAAGAAAATGAGGCTTTAATCAGTCTTTTATTAAATGGAAGTGAACAACCAGAAATGTGATACTAATTTTTAGCACTATAGGCCAAGGGCTATTATAGTATTTCCAGGAGATTTTTAAAAAATCAAATTTGGGGCCCGGCGCGGTGGCGCAAGTGGTTAAAGGTCCTCGCCTTGCACGCCCGGGATACCATATGGGCGCTTCCCTTCCAGCTCCTTGCCTGTGGCCTGGGAAAGCAGTCGAGTATGGCCCAAAGCTTTGGGACCCTGCACCCGCGTGGGAGACCCAGAAGAGGCTCCTGGCTTCGGATCGGCATAGTATCGGCCCTTTGAGCTCACTTGGGGAGTGAATCATCGGACGGAAGATCTTCCTCTCTGTCTCTCCTTCTCCTCTCTGTATATCAGCCTTTCCAATGAAAAAAATAATAAAAATAAATCTTTAAAAAAAAATCAGATTTGAGGAACTAATTCTTCAGTTTATATTAAAGCAAAAGAAGTCTCTTTGTTTCGTGCTTCACTACTTTTTTTTTTTTTTAAAAGATTTATTTGGGCTTTCCCAGGCCACAGGCAGGGAGCTGGAAGGGAAGCAGGGCTGCCGGGATTAGAACCAGCGCCCATATGGGATCCCGGGCGTGCAAGGCGAGGACCTTTAACCACTTGCGCCACCGTGCAGGGCCCGCTTCACTACTTTTTAAAGAAAAAAAATGTGGAAAATGTTTTCTTTGGGTACAGCTTTGAAAGTAATGCTTATCTCATGAAAATTTATGTAATGTTGCCTAACTGGATAGCAGCAGTACCATAGACTACCTTTGTTCTCACTCTAAAATAATCACCATTGTACTTACTTGATTACTACCACAGTTACGGATTTAAAAAAATACATACATTCACTTATTTTTTATTGGAAAGGCATATATATATATATATATATATATATAGAGAGAGAGAGAGAGAGAGAGAGAGAGAGAGAGAGAGACGGAGAAAAAGATCTCTCTGTTGGCTTACTCCCAATATGGCCATAACGGACAGAGCTGAGCCAACCTGAAGTTAGGAGCCAGGAATCTCCTCAGGTCCCACATGGGTACAGGTCCCAGGGCTTTGGATTGCCTCTACTGCTTTCCCAGGACAAAAGCAGGGGATAGAAGAGCTAGGAGAGCAACCTGCCTCCTATGGGGTTCTGGCGGATGCAAATCGGGGATTTAGCCCCTAGCATATCACAGATCCCTTAACGTTTTCTAAACAGAGATGAATCATGCAAGCATATGACAGTTAATTTTAATATCTAAACATCTAATGGGATTATACCGCTGCACTTGATGGGGAAGTATTTAGTCAAATGTCTCATTTTCTTCTAACAATTTGTATATACCTTTAAGCTGAGCAGGTTATTTTCTTTAAATTCTGATTTTCATTATGTCTGAAAAACTTTTTTGTCTCATTTTTCATGATGTCAACCAAGTCAAGCTGCCATAAGCCTGCCAGGCTTACAGAGATCAGAGTTAGCCTCCTTCTATACACCAACATAAGCTCCGCTTTAAGCTGTTTAGGAAAACACTGGAGACTTGGGGGAAAAACATGGCTTCCCACAGGATAGGCAATGTTTTATTGGTAAGTGATTTATAAGCTCTTGGCTCTAGACAGGTGCTCAATAAGTTCATGCAGGGTTTCTGATTTATTCTGTAGAACAAAAAGAGGGTTATATTACAGGGCTCTAAGAGAATTATTTTACATAGCACTCTATGATGAAGGCATTAAGAATGTGTCACAAACCTATTGTTTTGATGAGCAAAAATTCAGTTTCAAAATAGGTAGATATGTGTATTGGAAATATTCAAACAAATTGAAATAATAATTTTGCCATTTTCATATGAAAAATTTAAAATCACATTGTTAAAGTATATTTACTACCTTAATAGATGCTGAAAGTGTTTGTCTTCACTTAAATGGAAAAATAATTGGAAAATGTGCATTTTATAATGCTTGGGAAAGAAAGTATTAGTATAGGTTTGACTCTGACAATTCCTTTAGAAACTTCTTGCAAACCACCATCTCCCAAAAAAAGAAAACGCGTAAACAGGAAAATGAAATATGTATATGAACCAAAATTTAGGATTTGAGATTTAAAATGTTAAAGCACTTATCTCAAACTTGTGAAGAAAAAATCAGCACAATATAACGTGTTCTATGAAGAAGAAATAGTATGTAAATACATGTATTCATTACATGAATGGACATTACTAAAAATTACATATTCCTTCTTTTCTTTCAATTTTTGAAGGGATCACCCAAAATTATTTTCTGTATGATTATTCTTAGAGCTACTTACTACTTACTGTTAATTAAATATTCCCAGCAGTGAAGTTATGTATAAGGTGCCTTGTCTTCTCATAATTTCTGCCCATCAAGCGTGATAGTAATTGAATGACTGATAAACCTACAGGTTTGTTATTGTGTAATACTTAGGTAGTTTTGTTCTTTTATACATTTTCTGATGTTTTCTGTCATATTGCTCTAATTGGTAACATTACTTTTTAGGATACTGCATCTTATTAAATAAGAATAATCTTAAAGGCTTGAAAAGCATGTTTATTGGGGCTGGCATGGTGGCATAGAAATCTTATTACTCTAACTGCAGCTTCAGTATCCCATATGGTCACTGGATCATATCCTGACTACTCCAATTCCAACGCAGCTTTGTGCCCTGTGTCCTAGGAAAGCAGTGGAGAATGGCCCAAATCCTTGGGATGTTACATGCATGAGGAGACATGGGTGACTTCTGGCTTCCAGTTTCAGATCAGCTCAGCTCTGGCCATTTCAGTCATTTGGGGTGTGAGCCAACCTATGGAAGATCTTTCTCTTTGTTTCTTGCCTCTCTGCAAATATACCTTTCAAATAAAATGACGAAATCAGTCCTAAAAATGCAGAAATGCATGTTTACTAAACTTAAAAATAAGTTATACATATGCATACATCTGTACTTAGCCTATGTAATAGGAAAATCAGGTAATATGCTGTGCAGAAAGCAAATGGTAAAGAACTGAGTGTATTACTTGAACAAAGCCTTGTTGAACAGAGGCAACAAGGCTTTCATGTGAGGCATCACAAATGATGGGATGAAACACCAATATCTTAGTTGTTACGTAAGCTTTAACTGATTTTGAAGTTTTCTGTTTGTTTATTTTATTGTGTCTCATTTGGAAGTATTTAAACCCATAGCAGTGCTCGCTTCGGCAGCACATATACTAAAAACGGAACGCTATGGAGATTAACATGGCCCTTGCCCAAGGATGACACGCAAATTTGTGAAGTGTTCCATATTGAAAATAAATAAATAAATACACAAACAAATAAATAAAACCTGTAGTAGCATAAGGAATAGTATAAACTCACATGTGGACTCATCAGCTGATTCTTTTAGTACTTTTCCCACCACCCAAAATCCTGTATTGCATAGCAGCTTTGAGTTCCCCTTCCTGCCTCTTATATTTCATAGGGACAGTGAAAGAGAGGCAAAAATTCCAAACTTTGGTACAGAGGGTTGAAAGGTATGTATCAAAAATAGCATTCATGGTTTATTATACGACATTATGTTTGCATAAATAAAATGATTGAAATATAATTTCAAATATCAGTTAATTACACTATTAGAAGATTCTTTTTTTACAATTATAATCCATGGTGTTCAATAGCATAATTGCACAATCATGTACTTCTCTGGTTTCTTTCTTAGTAGTTCATTTACTGTATATTGGATAAAATGGTTGTAACTAAAGGAGCAAGGTCTTTTTGTCTCTGCTTCCCTAATAATCAAATGCAGGCATTTCTATGGAGTAAATATTGCAATTCCTATTATTGATGCATATATCATAATAAGTGTTTAGCTTTAATAACCACTAAAATATTGGTTGTAAAGGTTAAATACCTTTTACTCCAGACAGCAGTATAAGATACTAATTCTGAACATCTTTTAAAGCAACATTCGAGTTTTATCAGCTCTTTTTAAGAGGTTCTGGTTTAAATGAATATTTATCTTTTTAGGAATTATTATTTTTTTTATTGGAAAGTCAGATATACACAGAGAAGGAGAGAGAGAGGACGATGTTTAGTCTGCTGGTTCATTCCCCAAGTGGCTGCAATGGCCAAGGCATGAGTGAATAGATCTTAGTTGTAAGATTTAGTTTAAAATTTAAGATAGGTGAAAGTATCACACATTTATTCTAAATATTCTTGCTTTGACACATATTGGAGTTATTTCATATGCAATAGGCTTAAAATACTCTCCTATGTGGTACCATGATATTCATTTATTAATATAACGTGATTGTGTGTGTGTGAGAGAGAGACTAGGGAGAAAGACAGACATTATTCCCCATCCTCATTTTAAATCTTTTTGGAATAATTCCCGATATATTACTGATACTGCATATCTTTGTTTCTGTTTTCCTATTTTATAAATCTGTAAGCATAAGCTTTACGATTTAAATGGTTCTGTCAAAAATAATTTTAAGTTTTAACTGCAATGTCACCAAATTTAGTGAATAACTTTAAAATATTGAGTATTTTGTATGTTTCATCTCACAAAATTCTGCATTGTTTATATTTGGTACTTCTGCTAATATCACATTGGAATTACGATGTTTGATAAGTAGCATTTTCGAAGTAATTGCATTAATAACCTTTACAGAAGTTTTTTTCTTTTTTTGAGAAATTTTCAAAGCATCAATTTGGGGTAGGCATTTGCTAACCTGCCATCAAAGCTTAGATGGGATTCCCGCATTCCCTATCAGAGTGCCAGGTTCAAGTACTGACTCTGCTCTGAATTTCAGCAATCTGCTCTTACACATTGAAGAAGAAAATGATGGTTCCTGTAGCTGGAATTCCTGGATTCTAGCAGTTGGAATTGTGGATTCCTAGCTCCCAGCTTCACCCTGGGCCAACCCCAATCATGTATCGTCGGTGTCCCGCAAAGGAACAAATGGATTGGTGTGAGTACTCTCTCCCTTTCTGCAAGTACCTCTCTGTCTTGTAAGCATATGTAACATTTTAAAAATTAACTTACATTAAACTTATACTAAAATGTTAGGATAAATCATGCATGGATTTCAAAATATTCAAACCAATATAAATTATCTTTTAATTCCATCTTCCATGAACTTTTTTTTTATTATGTTCAAAAATGTTTTCAGGGTCACAATTTAGGATAAATCAATTATTATTACTGATTTTATTATTTCCAAATTTTATTTTTGACTCATAAATTGTCATCTGCTAAATTCTGTAGAATGAACTAAATGTTTGAAATTACATGCTGTATTGGCTGACAATGCAGATATTTTGTTTGCATTCTTAAATGAGTGGTTTTTAATGTGTGTATATGAATTGACCAATGTGAGACAAACCAAGGTTTATATTAATCAAATGATAAAAGAGCTTGAACCAAATTCAAGTTCTTATAAATTCTCTGCTCTAAGTTTTTTTTTAATAGAAATTCCAGTCAGTTTCTATCTTTTTTTATTTTTAAGAATAATTTGTAACTACAGTTGCATAATTTTCATTTATCAACTCCTCTTTAATCACATTCTGTTACTGCAAATTAAACCTCTTTGTCAATGAAATACATTCTTTGGAATTTTACTTCCGATAAGTAGCCTAAAATATCTCATATTTTTAGACCAACGTATATATATATTCCCTTGCTTGGGTATTATATTTTATACTAATTAATTTGATGTGTGTGTGTGTTTTAGTAACTTTTGTGAGTCAGAAATTTTGTTGGTGTTACGTTTATAATATTAAAGAAAGAATATTGCCTTTAAAGTGTCTATAATCAATTAAAAGTTCATTTTAACTAAAGTTACTTTGATAACCAGAATAGAATGTGATAGCATGAAATGTGTTCTTTTATTTTTTTCATAATTGCTCCTTTCAAAATTGTCTAATTTTCAAAATCCCCCTTCTGAGTCTGCTTTACACACTTAATTATCTTCAGTATTTAAACAATTGAAATTGAAATGTATTGCCGTAAAAATAAAATGTAAATTTTCATATGATCTAGGTTCTGATTTTCATTTCTGCATCCCCACTGTTCATGCCTTGGTGGCTGCTCTTCAGTTACACTGAGCGAGGTAAGCCCTCTGAACACATCCTGTCGGGCTTATGTCTCTCTAATGTCAGCTTCTTTCTCATTTTCTTTTTCCAAATGACACTTTCCTCCTCTCTTCTTGTAGGTTCCATAAGTTGCATAGCCCCTCTTTGTTGGGAAGAGTTTCCACTATCTAGATGAGAATCTTTATATTTAAAAGAGATAGAATGAAGTTGTGTTCATAATTTTGTGTTAAAATTTTTAAGTGAACATTTTCTAATATGAATCTAATAACTGCTCTTCGTTTTTATGAGTAATTAGTCCTATTAATATAATCTTGGCCACTTTCCATTTCCAGAGTGTATTTTATTATGTATGTGTGTGTGTGCCTACATAATTAAATTTTGTAGAATAATCTAGTTAGGAGAAATTTAGTACATGAATCTGCCTACATTTACATTCAGCAGGTGCTTAGCCCTAAATGCTTCTTTGTTAATCTGGATGTGCGTTTTTCCATTGCTTCCTTTCCTCTTAGGCGCTATTATTAATCTTTGGAAGCATATGTGATGATTCTGCATTCAATTCTAGTGTAATTTTACATATTGGTTCTTTAATATGATTTTATTATATGTAATTATATATGTACCATTTGTTTTGCAGATGTGTCTGTTAAAATGAAAGACTGGTCTAACAACTCAATTAACTGTGCATTACTTAATTTTAGTACTGCAAGTACAAATCACATAATAATATCTCTGTTTTTATTTTGCAATTTAATTTAAAAGTGTAAACATAGCAAATAACCATCATGGAAAAGAGAAAACACACAAAATATGCAGTTATTTTAAGGTTCAGCATACCTTTATAATATACTTCTTGGAATAGTATAATTTGGCAAATAGAGCTTAAGATTCATGTCTAAGGGGCCAGCTCATTGTGAAGTTGGCTAGCTTCTGCTTAAGGCACCGGCATCTGGTTTGAGTCCCGGCTGTTTCACTCCACATCCAGAGCTTTGCTTATAGACTGGGAAAGCAACCAAGGATGGCTCAAGTTCTTGGGCACTGACATTCAGATTGGACACCTGGAAGAGGCACCTCGCTCCCAGCCATTGGTTCTTTGGATTGGCTCAGCTCCAGTCATTGTATCTCCTTTTGCCCTATATTTCTTCTTTCAAATTAAAATTATACACACACACACACACGTGTATATTTAAAATATTGAATGCCTAAATTTGCTTACATATACATTTCTGTAAAGACCCCAATTCCAAGTCATACAAATCATCTAATATAATCTGAAGGCGGACAGACTGAAAAATAGATTAATTGAGGGTGTTATTAACAATCCGACATTTTTTTATATTCCCCAATAATGGATTTATGAAAAATCCACTAACTGAATTGAGTAAACATCAGTTCTGAGGCATTCTAGATCACAATAACATAGGTTAAAATGTTATAAAAGGACCCGGCGGAGTGGCCTAGGGGCTAAAGTCCTCGCCTTGAATGTACCAAGATCCCATATGGGCGCCGGTTCTAATCCCGGCAGCTCCACTTCCCATCCAGTTCCCTGCTTGTGGCCTGGGAAAGCAGTCGAGGACAGCCCAAAGCCTTGGGACCCTGCACTCATTTGGGATACCCGGAAGAAGTGCCTGGATCATAGCTTCGGATTGGCATAGCATCGGCCGTTGCGCTCAGCTCACTTGGGGAGTGAATAATTGGACAGAAGATCTTCCTCTCTGTATATCTGACTTTCCAATAAATAAATAAATATTTATAAAAAATGTTATAATAACATATATAGTACTGTTTGTTGCTCAATAATTACATCGGTACCTTTCACAAAATTAGACAACACATGTGCCTAAAGAGAAAAAAAAACAAAACAAAAACATATTTATATTATATATTAATTTAATGAGCAAGAATGATTCAAATATTTGTATAACTTCCTCTTTTTGTAAGTAAGAAAATATCCTGTGACGTCTGTATATTATTTTTGATGCTATTTGATAGCTTGTAATGGTTTTTCAATAACTGAAATTTTTATTCGGTTGGCATTCCAGAACGAATTATGAAGCAGCCACCAGCTTCGTCAGCATCTCATAGAGATGCCAATCTGAGTTTGGGTTATCCCAGCTGCTCTATTTGTCATAAAAATTTCCTGAAAATGTACCTGGGGAAAGCAAATGAGGATGGCCAGCTACTTGGGCGCCTGCATGGATGTGGGAGACAGGGAGA